GGCACTTGCAGGACAGGATGTAGGCGCGGACGTGTGGGTGGGGCAGTGGTACCTCCTCTCGATCAGCATCGTCGTGCGCGCAGTCCCGGGGTGGCCGTGTGTGCCGTGGATCAGTGCTAACTCCGCCGGCACCAGTTGCCGGGGTACTGCAATACGTAAACCCGGCCACGCGGTGCATGCCAGAGCAGGTCATCGAGCCAGGACATATTCACTGTTCTCTCCTCATCTTGCTTCCAACTTGCTTGGCAGTGGCCGCAGCGAAGAGTCCTGCCGATACGCTGCTACGAGTTTCACGGTGTCTCGCAGGGTGTTAATATGTAGGAGCCGACCTTCCCACGGTCTTGTCGTCCTTGAGGCAAACAGCGAGACACGGCCTAGGTGCCACAGTGTCAGTTCGGATTGTTACTACTTGGTATAAGGGGCGGCACAGATGAAGTGACGCAAAGCATTCGGTCGACGCGGCGCTCGAACCAGTCGGAAGACCTTGTTTGTCACAGGATTACGTAGATTCGCACACAACACCAACAGCAGAAGGCGGAGCTCGCTCGCCAGGGGAGAGCAATCGAGGGCTTCCCTCCGGAGGCGGGGCGTTGTTGCTACGCGAAATGCAGCGTACTTGGTGAAGGGCCGTGCCTACCGTGCCTGCCAAGGTAAGGACGCACCCTCAGGCAGGACAACGAGCGTCAGGGACGTGGACGCGAGGCCAGATACACCCCAAATTCAGTCGAAAGGACCTGCGTGCGCATAGGTTAGCTGTTGTACTGAGCTTTACCCAGTTCTAGACCTGGAAAGAAGGACGTCTAACGAGGCGCCGTCAACAGGTCGCTCTAGCAAGGCTTGATGGCCACCGGAGCCGAAAATGTGCTGGGCATGGTGCTTCTTTTGCTCACTCATCCCTCCGTGACAAGAAACTCGATTCTAACGGCATTGCGGTCGCCACTGCTAGTGGTGTCGACTTCGGTCGCGACTGCCTAGAAGGACATGGCGCCTCAGGGCGAGTGTCCGTCAGAAAGATAGATAGGATGTGCAAAGACGAACCATCCGTATGTATTGGCGAGATTCGGTAGTCACAACCAGATGAAGGTGACTCGAAGGAAGTGAACTCGATCCTACATCTTGCCGGTCGGAATCGTGTACATGTTTGCTACCTACTGGTGCCACCGCGGCTGGGGTCGAGCCGCAACAAAAACAACGAGTGAATAATTAAGAACTGAACGATTGCGACTCATGAGAGGTATATCAATTGTAGCACCAGTTCCGACTGCCATCAACTCAATTGTACGACACGCGTGGCAATTATAGCCAATCGTTTCTATCTGCAGACCTCGGGGGGGAGCTGACGTCAGGTACTCGACAGGTATACTCGACGGTGTCCAAGGTCCTACGTTCGGCTCTGCTCTGTCTCACAGCTGTACTCAGGCCAGGCGGGCTAGAGTTCACGACGAAGCAGCAGCAGTCTAAAGAGAGAGGTGAAGGTGCAGCGGTCGCGAAAGAGGACTGAGATGATACAACCGGGGAGCACATTCAGCAGCGACCGAAGTTATCTGAGAGGTTAACCTGCACCTACGTATGAGTAGTCTTGTTGCTTCCGACGACCGGAGCACTCAATAAATACTTCGTAAACAAGACAAATATTCTGCCACACGTCTACCTGGTAAAGAATGCGAGGAAACCCCCAATCTACGTATGTACTTGGAAGTATGTGCGAACCACCATCGACAAGTATGTCAGTTGGCCCGAGGCGGTCGACGACCCCGACCGCTGGTTTGAAAACAACCTACATAGTTGTTCAGCATTCTGATCGATTGGTCGAAACCGTCACCTTCGACGACGGGCCGGCGTGAACGGCCGGTTTTGCGGTTGGTTGATTAGTCGACGAAGCACCGAACGGTATTTAGGGTGTCCGGAATTTGTGGTTGAAGATCATTGCAGTGGATTATTGCGCAGTTCGAACACAGCCGTCGTGAATGCGACTTTTACCGTAGGAACGGTGGCTTCCGACGGCGCGGGTTCGACGCTACAGAGGGGAACGCTGCCTAAGCCTACCAGTATTGGTAAGAGGCATCCGCATGTAATCGACGGAAAGAAGACCCATGCGGCCCTGTCAAGGTCGTTGCGTGAGAGAGTTGCGGTAGTTTCCGTCTATGTTGCCTACTTCTGTGGGATCAACAAACCATCCGCATGTGGAATTCACGGACGGTGAATGAAGCGCATTCCTACAGATAAGTCAGTGCCCAAGCAGTTCAAGCGGCGAATATGGTCTCGGAACCCTTGTGAACAAGCACCTTGCATCAGCAGAGAGAGGCCCACTAATAAGGGGCAATCGACGTTGCCAAAAGCGGAACTGACAGCGTCAACACCAGACAACCAATCAATGTGCCTTGCGAGGCAGGCGAGCAGTTGTATCGATGAGTGAAGGGGTCGGAAACCAACCGTGTGGTGGCGCTTTGTCCTGCCGACGACGACGCCACGCGCCGAGAGGCTCTCACGCGCGGTGCATGAAGGACACCCAGTATTTTCCGCCCGTCTTCGCCCGTCGACATAAATCGAGAAAATGTTGCGGGTACGCAATAGGAATTAAGGTGGTACGATTGAGCACGTGAGGAATGAAATCGTTCACTTGGGGGGTTGTTCCGTTCTTTTCTCTACCATGCCGTACACCACAAGAACTACTACTCCTCCCTATCCTTCAACTCCTCTTGATTGGACATAAACTACCAACATGTTGTAGATGCAACAAGCAACGAATCCCGACACTACGCGAGCATCACAACAAAAACAGGTCCGAACCACACGGGACTTAACACGTCATGAAACTAACGATGAAATTCTAGGGCAGAGAGGTAGGTGAAGTAGTTGCTGGAGGAAACGAAAACTTAACAACATTGCGACAAAAGGTGGTGGTTGGGTACCGAATGATCCCGGTAAAACTACCCACCCTACCTATCCACGCTCATGGCGGCGATCAACTCACAACGCACCCGAGTGACGACTAGGGGACGGTGGGATGGGAGATTTACGCAACCCTTCCTGAAACGCGTTGTCCTCAAGTTTCCATGACGTCCACTTAACGTGTTGTACTCAACGAACACTTTTCACTATAAGCACATGGGACTGGTGCCATCCGTGCACGCAAAACTGAGCAGTCACAGCGGCGAGAACGCTGTTTAGGCGCATCTCACTGTTGTCACCAGAGATAGAGCATTCATCCGCACATTAGTAATACAGGATACGTTCACGACGACATCTTCCACGGACAGACGACACTTCGAAACGCCAACAGCCAGTACCATGCAGTGCAGCAGCCTGCACGCAACACCAAAAGCAGCATACAGTAGGCAGAAGCCAACCTAAGCGCATTGGCTAGCAAATTACACAGAGCGCGGTTTGGTACAACAATTCTTGCCAACAACCAGCCTGTCACGCAAACAAGCAAACGACTCATTCATCAAAATATTGTGATCCCGGTGGTCGTCCCGCCCCAGCGGCGGGCGACCCCCCCTAGTTCATCGAAATAATAACACAAACAACGTTCATCACTCCCTCAAAATGATCGGTTCAATGCCCCCTCCCCCATCCCGGGTTTGCACAAACTTGCACTATTGATTGTTATCGAATTTCTGGGATCACAAAACACCCTTGTCAAATTTTGTCCCAATGTCTAACGCTTCGAGTTGGAATCTGCGGAGGACTAACGCCGCTCTTAATTGGGCGCATGCTAGGCCCACATTCTACAGGGTACCGCGGGAAACTGACCCACGGCGCGTGCCGTCGCCGGAAAGAGCGGAATGTTTTCCGCTCTAGTTGATAGCGAAGGCTTCGATAGCGTCGAACCCGCCGCAGAACTCGCCATCGGAAGACCCCTCGCAGACCATGTCGCACACACCCTCGTCTTGTTCCGAGAAGGACGTGGAGCACCAGCACTGAATAGTATGGGGTCGGGAAGGGAAGGAGCGCATTCGGTGTCCGAACCGGAGCTAAGGCAGGGAGGTGTGCAGCGGGAACTACTCTCACAAAAAAAGCCATCTGGATCTCCACGAACTACAGATCACAACAACAAACGTTCAATAGCGCGTACCACAACGATCACACGGAACAGCTTACCTCCTTCGCGTACTGCAAGCCGAAGTACTGGTACTCGGGGTTCTGTCCGATGCAATAGTTGTAGCATATCTGAAACGCAGTGGATGGGAACGGCACGTAAGCGGCATGACACTCGAAACACATGCGGCACGGTAAGAATATTGCTGGCGGCAGATTTGAGTATGTGATGCCGACGTACTTCCGTTGTTTCTTGTACTTCGGGCTCCTGACTGTAAGTCGCCCGTTTCCGACCAGTCATTTAGAACGTAAGCTTTGAGCATCAAACAAGCTATAACTCTCAACGGAGACATTTCTACAAGGAAAGACGAAATACTCATGCGTTACTGTATCCGTTGTGCTAGTCGAATTAGTCTAGATCGATACATGTCAATCCATACTTGCATTGCACAATACGACACGCGCGATGCAACCAAACGGAACACCTCAGCACGCACCTCGGCAGACAGTTCGAACAACTCGACCATGGTCTCCATCGCACGAGAGCCATCCTGCAGGTCAGCGAAACAACCGAGAGAACTGTACTCCAAGGGGGTCGGAGTAGGGTCGACAGTGGTGACGACGTTGCCAACGATCTCGTACANCAGAGGCTGGTTCGTGTCAAGCACCGCGTGCTACACGGCTAACCGCACGTTGTGGAGCTGGCAGCATGGCATCATGGGATCTGGTGGTCGAAAAAGTGCCGGAGGCGTCTTCCCTCTGAGGAAATCGAATCGAGAAAGAGGCTAGAAGACAATCACCAGGAGCAGCACCCAAGGCGACGACGCCAACAACACCAGCAGTACCACCAATGCCAAAGACAATCTCAAACCGACGCCACGCACCTCTTCCCCGTACTGGGTGCCGAAGTGGGTGTACGAGTTGTCTTGGGCAGAGCAAATCCCGAAGCAGATCTGGGAAGGAAAACCATGTTTTGGGGGGGACAAGGAGGAGCAGGGGGCCACAACAAATCTACGCGGGAACGAGGAAAGAGCAAAGCACCTGCCCAAGCGAAGCCGTACGAGATGATAGGCTTCTTTGGAAAGCTACGAAGTGTCAAACAAAACCTAAATCACCTCATGAAACTCAGCAAAAGAAAGGATGTCTCCGCTATCGGCAACACCTACCTCCGCAGACATGATGACCTCCGCAAGCGGTCCCACACGCATCACCTGCCATTTGAAAAAATAAGACGTGTAAGAATCGGAAGGAATGAATACGCGCGTGCGATGTCGACAAACACCAGCCCTGTCGAGGGCGGCAGTGTAGATGTGTTGCAGGACGCGCTGCCAACTGAAAGCCGGCAAGTGACGAACTTCGAGCACAAAATAGAAGCGCTGAAAAACTTGACCAATAACAACAGGTGCCCAAGAACTCTACCCGATCAACTACTCTACATGCAGTGGCTGTTTGTTTTCTCCCACAGGAATCAAGGCTCAATACTGCTGGCGTGTAGTGTACCCTAATTTTCCCTGTTTCTCTGTTCCTATCTCTTCCTCTCTCGCTGTCGCGCGCGCTCCCCATCAACAACATTGGCAAGATACCCCCCACTCCCTTCTGTAGCTCATCCGTGTTCTCTACTACAAGCGTGAGGTGAGAATTATCTGTCCTACAACTCACCAACCGCAGAACCTCCAACCTCCATTGATCTCTCCTCTTTGTCTCACCCTAGGGGATTGGCTGTCGGCAACACAGTCGACGAAGTCGTAGTCGCCGGAGGGGACCACGGGACTGGCCGGCGCGGGCGTGGGTCCGGGGGGAGTCAATGGCGCCGGCGTAGGAGGGGCTTCCGAGATGATTTCGTACAGAGTGAGGGCGTCGAAGCCGCCGCAGGTTTCGCCAGCGTTTCCAGCGCAGGGGTAGGTGCAGGCGGTGGAGGTCTCGGTTGTCCCGAGCGATCCTGTGCACCAGCACTGGACGAGACGTGATTTTGGGGAAGAGGAGGGCAACATGCGAAGAGGGAAGAAGAGCAGGGCTTTGGTGAGCGAAACGAGAAAATTGACCTGGAAAGGTATGGCGCTGCTTCGAAAGCTGGGTCGTGTCGAGTCCCTTGATTCACGCTTACCCGGGCGACATGGGACTTAGGTCATGGTGGTCAAGTGCCAGGGTCGTCTGTTCGCTTCGGATGTCGAATCGAGCGAGGCCGGAAGACAAGTCACCAGGATCAGCACCACCAACAAAGGCAACGACATCATATCAACAAGAGCGGTACAAAGGGCCGCAACAAATACAATAGCCGACGCTACCCACCTCTTCCCCGTACTGGGTGCCGAAGTGGGTGTACGACGAGTCCATTTCAGAGCAAATCCCGAGGCAGATCTGTCAAGGAAAGACAAATGGGGCGAGGGGTTGGACGAGCAGGGAGACACGACTCAATGAACGCAGCATCCCGCTGCGTAGTAGATAGGGGAGAGAGACACGTTGCTAAGGATAAGCTGGAGCGTCGGATCAACCACATTCACCTCGGAGGTTGCAGCACGTGCAACAACACGGAACATTCCACTCAAATGCACGAGGCTCGCGACCTACATACCCGACCTGTGTGCGGGATCCTAGCGACACACGACTATGGTGAATAGCTCGTTGTTCTACCTGAGGGCCAGCGCAAAGCACGCCACCCAAGGTCTACAGAAAATGCCTCCAAATCACAAACGGGGCGGGGATGGGCAACGAAATCATCGTCCCGTGATCCGCATCACTTACCTCCGCGGACATGGTGGCGGCCGACATCGGTCCCTCAGACATCACCTGCGAGTCGAAGAACGGTGACGCGCGAGACCCGGCGGGATTAACTTGGAGCGCAGTCGCGATTCGACGAACATGAAGTTCGGTATAGCCGTCCTGCGGAACGTGTCGGCATCTAACTCCGGGATGTGCATAAGCTCCAACACAAGATGAAAAAATAACACCATCCCGTAGGGGGGGAAGAAGGGTGCTCAGCTACGACCTCTACACGGAACACCTCCAAACGTCTGGCCTCACAGACGAGACAAGCCGGGATCCTCCTGTAAAGAAGGAGGTTCTGCCAACATATAATGACACGCTGGGCTCTTGCTTATTGAGCGTGTGCCTCACCAACTCTCTTTTTCGGTTGCGCTTTCATTTTTTTGTGGTTGCGAGTGACACTAAATTTACCATTGTTTTCTTTCCCACTCGCCGCTCCATCATCTTTCCCATCGGCACGACGCCCAGTCCCTCTTCACTGGCTACAAGCCAGCATCAAGAGGAGATTTGTCTCTCCTACAGCCCCCAACCACCAATCCTCAAAACGTAAATCCATTCCCTTACTCTTTGCCTCACCCGATCGTCTTGGCTGTCGGCAACGCATCCGATAAGCTCGGAGCCGACGGGAGGGTCGCCGGAGTCGTCGTCGCCGCCACCTGTGCTGCCGTCAAGGGAGTACACCGAGATGTGGTCGTCGGTGCCGCACAGCACGCGGGAGTCGCCGGAACACAGGTACTTGTACTCGGGGACGTCGCCGCCGAACGTGATGTCGATGCCGCACACGGAGCCCCCGTCGCCATAGACATCGTCGGTAGGGCTGCCCACCAGCTCGTCGCCGCACAGGCACTGGAGAAAGGGAGGGGAGGCATGGATGGTCATGGCGGATCAATGGGGCGGGAGAAGGCGGGGAGACACGATGATCATACAGCGCCTCTACGAATTGTGTGGACGTTGGCCAAGGCCGGGGCGAAGCGACTCGTTTTTCTCGTGGACAGTTCATATCCAACAATATCACCGGGGGAGGGGGGGGCAACATGTTGGCTACCGTTCGAATTGCAAGACAGACATGCACAGGTTTCCAAAGTACGTCTATGCGTAGCCGCCTGCAATCCAGAACTGCCCTGGTACGTACGTATCCCTTCAAGGTCTGTTCTATCAAGGTACGGATGACGACCAACAATGCGAGCATTGGTTTCGGGCCCTCTCACCTTGACCGCGGACTCGAGACCGAAGTACTGCGTTCCTTGAGCTGTGCAGGTGGCCGCGCATTTCTGTGACAAGGCAAGACCACCAGATTGACAGACGATTTACTGGATGTATTCATGACGTGTTTTGATCGCTTGCGACACGACAGCAGCCGTTACTATTCAGGCGAAGGGGGCATCACGCTACGGTCGGTCACCGCTTCGACGACGAAAATTTGATTTTCCGATGCATGTGAACGGGAGGCTAATGCTGGACGTGTGCACGCATGTCGGCAAACCTCTCGGCGTGGGTAGAAACCAACTAGCTGGATGAGTTCGAAGGCAACACCAGCCGCGCAGTCTCCTCCCTTCAACGTGCAGCAACCCATCATCCGGCAAAAAACACGTGTCGTAAAAATACAACAGAATGGTTCGACGTTTGCTCCATTGGGATCCGTACAACCTCACCTCCAGCGTCATGACCTTGTCAGCATTCACCCCGTCGTCGTCGATGCCGTCGAACATGCGGTAGTTCTCGGCCGGGTCGGCATCGTTGGCGCTACCTGTTCGCGTGCAGAAGTTAGGCAATGACTCGGTTCCGCTAGTGATGAAAGCGTTGGTTTAAAAGGGTACGGTGGGGGATTCATGATCTCGTGCCGGAGTACGAAGCTCACGACAACACCCTAATACAAACATCTCGGCCAATCAGCACACACAAGAGATACTTTTTCTCGGCGGCATGGACGTCGACAACAGCAGTTGCAACCACAAATTACGAACAACAACACGAAGCACGAAAACAGTAGTATACCTGTGGGCCCGTCGGCGGTGCCGAATATCCCCGCGCTGTAGCACCCCTCGTACGTGATGCCGGAGGGGTGCAGGTTGCTGCATTCCAGCGGAGGGAACGGTCCCGAGTACATGACCGAGTAGTACCCCTCGGAGCCCTCCAGAGGAAAGGTGAATGTTTCCTCCTCTCCGCTGCCGGAGGGGATAGGGGCGTAGTCCAGGCTGTCGTCGAAGAAGGGAGTGTTCAGGGTGTCCCAGATGTGGTACTGCCATGCATAAGGGAGAACATGGTGAGAAGTGTAAGTCTTGGGAGAGCGGAGGACGGGGTTGCCGAGGAACGAGGCGTGGGGTATCCTGAACGTTCTACAGTGGTATAGGGAAACGCAGACACGCACGATCGCGACAGCCGTAGTAGACGTGAGCCTGCACACCGTGCTCACCTCGTCAGGGCCGTACTCGACCTCCCACGCGATCTTCTCCATGGCGTTACCGCCGTTGGTGCTCTTGGAGACGAGTTCCAGCTCGTAGTTTCCCCAGGGGGCGCAGATGTACATGTCCATCTGCAGCCTACGCCACAAAACAAAGTCGAATGGCAGGAAAATATGAGATTTAAGATGAGGAATGCCTGTACAAAGCGAGTTGGGCACGCACAAGCTTCGACAGCTGCAGGCCGGCACTCTGTTGCTGTACAGCGCAAGCGCAAGCAAGCGCCACCGGACATCAGAACGGATTCATGCTCGAAGCAATTACTGAAAACTCTTCCGTTGTCGCACAGCAATTAGTGGAGATTGTGTCCGCAAGGATGCATACTTTCTACGCATGTTGAGTGCATGTTGGCAGGCAGTGCACGAGGGGTAAAACGTTAAACGTCATGCCTACAAATCATACGGGAACGACATACGTGCTTACCGGTCTCCGTCTTCGATGGAATCGCCGTCGTAAGTTACGGTTTCGGAAAAACCGTCCGTGACGGCGTTGCCGCACTCATCGGTCAATTGCCTGTGTTTTAGAAGGGGAGGCATACAGCGACGAAAAGAGATGTGGAGGGGATGAAAACCGCGAAACGCAAGGTTTCGCTTGGCTTAGGTGAGGTGCGCTCGAAAAAAAAACGAACAACAACCTTACACGCTCGTTCTTCGAAAAAAAAAAACTCAAGTCTATCGGGGTGTTTGTTTTATCAGCGTTGAGGAGGGTGTCACGCGAGACGGGCACATTTTAATGGCGCTCCGCGCCTAATGGAAGCGGACAACATTTTGCAACACTGTCATCAACATCTAGCTGCCGATCTATGCCCGGGTTGCGAGCGCGGAAGATAGTCGTTTGGCCTCGGCACGACCAGCGTCGTGGAAAGGCGTTTGAGAGTTGGTCGCATTTCGTGGATCATCACTGAAGCGTGCATACCTCCACGTCATTTGCATCCAAGGCGACGAGTTGTAGTCGAACCCCTCGATCTGCAGATAGCGCACCTTCCTAGCCTCGGAGTCCACTATCGATGAACAAAGGAACGATATCACAGGATATGACACGCGGTGTTTTGGGGGATCAAGGGCGTATGGAAAACATCGAGAGCAAATACATCTGTGTGCTGCACATTACGCCATATCCGGACCCAACAAGGAGCATAAAAACATGCCGCAATCGGCTGTGGCTCTGCCGTTGTGATAAAACGTTACTGGTGGAGGATTGCGAGAGCAGTCGGGCCTACGAGAGCGATGCGAGACGTGACGGGGAGGGGGTATTATTTGGTGTAGCGGCAGGACGAGAATTTCCGAGTATTTTACGCGGTGCGAGCGAAGATTGGAGAACACGAATTCCGGGACACATTTTCCAGCAATTCTATGAATGCCCAAGAGCAACGCTGCCAAGCACGGCACCAATTGAGGGCACACAAGGTCATGTTCAATCCCACCGGCCTACGGCACAAACAAAATGACGAGAGCCTACCGAACCACACGTCTTACCGCAGTTGTTGTCGCTCTCGTAGTCGTCCCCGGTTCGCAAATCGAAGATAGCCTTAACGCCATCGACACCCGGCACGCTCGCCAGGAAGGCTCCGGAGGCCGCGGCAAGAAGCGTCATGGTAGAAGAGGGCCTCATCCTGGCCGAAGGAGCTTTGAGAGTGAAAGAGGGAGAGAGAAATATGTGAGAGGTTGAGGCAGCCATAAAAAGGGAGAAGGAACGACCTGTTGCGTGAAAACGGAAAATGGAATCGAGTTATGTTTGGCAATAAAAGGTAAGGGGGACGATGCGTAACGAACGATGCTGACAAACTCGAAGTTCGTAATGTTCATGCCGAATCAAGAATCTAGTGTTCCGATAAGAAATACACCCCATGGACTTTTCAGAAAAAAAACGGCAAACTGCTGTGAAGCCTCGTACATCGAGGAGGTACGCATGTATGTGTGGTCCGTGCACAACAATTTGTCCAATTCAGTTTTGGGTGGAAAAAAAAAGAATTGGAACGTGACACAGCGTTGGTCGTGACGGCCTCATCGAGTTACGTCGATATCCGAGGCGTTTTTTGAATTTGGTGAAAATGCAACATTTTCGGAGAAAATGAAAATGATCCACGGTGCCCCTCAAGTACCCCCCGTACCCTCTCATGACATCACGGGACCCCCTGAACACCACTACCCACTGCTGTACAAATGTTACAGAGACCACCTACACGCCATTAAATTTCTGCAAACAAACATCTCCACTGCAGCTGCTGCAATGTTTGCTGTGTCTACACCACACGGGAACAGGTACGAACTTCTCCGGAAAAAATACACATGCAACACTCCAATGACGGGAGAAAACAAACAAAAAACTCTGCGTGAAGGGAGTCCAACGATGGGAGAAAAACAAACAAAAAACTCTGCGTGAAGGGTCAGAAAAATACTGGCCAGATACAGTCAACTCCACGGAAGGGCCAGAAAAACAACAAACAACAATAATCTGCTGCCGTCGCGCACGCTCCAGAAACATCCCCATGGTGTTGGCCAAGCCCACGACTTGGCGCCCCAAAGCTGCTTTTCGGCGGCGGGATTGCTGGCTTCGTCAGAGAGAAAACACGGCGCGTTTTGTTTTTCTCGCCGCGCTTGTTTGTTGCCGAGCGAGCTGCGGATACCACAGCACGCCCTGCGAACCTCAGTATCGACTGACCCCCACCACTGCTGTGGTTCCTGCTGGGTTCCTTATCGCACCACTCTTCGTCGTTTGCCGCAGCCCCTTCCTCATCTTCATCCATAGAAGAAGCGCTGCCGCCACAAGCGTTGCTGTCGTCGGGCGCGTCCCCAACGGAAGGCACATCGGCGGCAGACGCCGGAGGATCATGTTGCTGTGCCGGGGCCTTCGAAACTATCCGCCCATCCGACCCACGGCCGAGCTTCCTCTTCTTCGCCCGTGGCATGGGCCTGTGTGTGTCCGCGTGTGGGTGTTTGTGGCCGTGTGTGCACAGCGGCTGCTGGCGATTTTTTCTTTCATGACGGGCCAACAACAATGGCGATATGTCGTGAAATTTCGTTTTTTCTTGGAAAAATAGAAAATAACCCATCTAGGGATTGACCAGAGGAATCGATTGCCGCTGTTTATTTTTAAATCGTACGGTCAGTTTTGTAGTTAGAAACGATACAACTTGGCCTCCAAAATCCAGTTTTTCGTCGATATCTTCGTCAAAAAATGGTATTTTCAAAACAAATAAAAAAGCCCATCTCGGGAGTTCAGAGATACGCTCAAATCCGTTGAGATATTTGATATCGGCTAAAAACACGACCCAGCGGAAACGATACAAAATTTCACCGTTTTTCGAAGATGAAAAGTCAAGGAATAAAAATAATCGAAAAATCTCTCCTGTAGAGAGATGCGCCTGGAAACAGGGCGTTTGCCGGTACTTTCGGATGTCCGAACGACCACATGTGTGCAGAGAAAAAGTGTACCCGGGCGCTGGAAAAAGTGTACCCGGACCATACGTAGGCTGACGACGCACCCGAAAGCTCGTAAAATTCAGAAGCATTACTTGTATTGTAGTGCTCATGCCGTGCATGAGCCCTCAACATGTTGTCCAAGCAGGAAGAATGAGATTTGAGAGGTCGGGCCCTCTCACGTGTAGTACCTCCGACGCAAATCTCCGAGTACACTTGTCCTCATACATGGCCCTTTTTTCTTGTCCATTTCCCCGTCTAGACGATTCAGAGTCTAACTGTTGGTTCACAACGCCAAGATCACAGGAACACTTGGAATTATTATAGATCCAGGGTCCAGGATGTATCACGGGTTTGCTCGTCTTGTTCTAGAAGAGCTTCGTGGCGAAGCACCTGAGGTGCGCACTGATATGCTGCATGAACACAAAATGTTTAATCACGACCATGCAATGCATACCATGACACAGAACAGAGTACAGACCATGATTCAGATTCAGACCATAGACTAGATCCAGTTAGAAGTAGCCCGAAGATCATGAAATGTTTGCCGCTACTATGCCACAACGGGAACATCCCATCCAGAGATAGAGAGAGACCTACATACAGCAGTCCGGTTCAACATCTTCTCTCTCTTGTGGTGAACGGAGATCGAAACTGCATGCTGTCGTAGCGAGACAGCACAGAAGAGTGGTAGACTATACCCGCCAGACTTCTTGTGACCGACCGCGATTCACAAAAATCTACGGAACACCGGCGGATGGGATCCACAGGTTGCGGCAGCAATGTAGACAGATTGCTGCGCTAGCCTCGCTATAACCGGCGCCGTGGTTGACCCAAGATCCTACCATCTGCAGCAACCTCCCACCAGAAGCTGCTACAATCTTTGACACAGCAATGCAATGAGGACGGCTCAAAAGCAGCCGTATTGGCAACATTACGCCAACACCTGTGAGCCACAATAATATGCGAGACGAAGTTTCGGCTGTTTTTTGGTCCCCACAGCGGCAGCGCCCAGCGTGCGTGCAAGCACCTGCGGCGCGCGGCTTCTCTGTACACATCCTTTTTCAGCATGTAGTACTCACGTTCTCTGCGTGGCGGCTTGCTTGGAAGTCTCTCGTAGATCTTGGCGGGAAGGGGTGGTTCCGAAAAGATGAAGCGCGGCTCGGGGAAGCTCAACCGTCACCTGGGCAGAACGCGCGCCACGAAGGAAGAGGGACGCAGCGACGAGAGACGCCGAGACGGAAGAGATTCGGAAAGGCGAGCGGGCGTGTGAAACGACACCTCTACCGTTGACCATCGATGGATGCTAAGCGTACCTCTCTCCATGAAAACGAACCAGAAGACACGCACCTTTGCGCCGGTTGTGTATTGGTTGGCGTTTGGTTGCTGTGCGTTTGTGTGTAGTGGGGTGTAAGTGTTGGGGTTCGCAAATCTGGCGGAGAGTCTATGTAATCCGCGAGCGCCACGTTGAACCCGAACCCATGTATCATGTGTGTGCAGAAAAAGAATCTCCTGTCGTTCGCCACAAGAAGATTCTTCGCAAATTAGTCTCTTCCAAATTTTTTGTTCATGTTCGGGGCAGACCCCGAACCCCGTGCTGCCATGATGTGTGATGAGAGAACAACCCCGAGCACAACGGACAGGTACAAAAAGGCATAGACTGGTTTGGTGTGTTGTTGATATAATGGGTGGGCGTGGAGTGGTCCGGCAGACGGTTTGAGTTTGGATTCCCCCCCCCCC